GTTGATTCGCAGGCGGAATCAACAGTGGCCTTATGGCTATGGCGGAATAAGATTTCATAGAGTTTATTGATAAAAAAAATCAAGTTTCTCCCGGCCGGAAGTATAATGCCGCTTGGCAAACTGTCATATTGTGGGCGAATAACAGCGTCAGCGCGACTGAAGAAGCCCGTAATGTAAAGGGTGGGGTTAAACTGCATACGTGCGTAAAATATATTCGCAAGAGGCCAAAAGCGTGCGCAGTTGAGAGAAACAATGACTGGTGCAAACAGCTTGCCCAGCTTTGCTTTCCTTGACTTCTGTCGTTTTATTCTGCTGACCACCTGGTTTTGTTCCGTCATGCCCAGGAGGCCTACAAATAGCATGTGGTTTATCTACACATACTTGTGTGCTCATGGGAGGGCGCGAGTTTTCCCCTAAAAGCCCTACCACGAACAGTGGTATGCGACGTGTGCGGTGCTCGTGGCGTTGTTTCCCGTCAAAACTGTCGCAGTGAGTGTTGGAGGTGCACACACACTGGATATTTGTGATAGGCTGACCCTAGCCCAAATATCTGAGCAAGTCTTTCTTGTCCGGATGATATGGTTTCATTGACAAAGTGGTGCAGCTGTAAAGAGCCAGTGTTGAAGTTCGGCGTTGTCATTGATGTTGATGGTATAAGATTAAGATGCAACCCATCTTTCTAAGTTGTAGACTATGCGGTAAATCAAGTTGCCTCTAATTCGGTATTTATTTTGGCTCAAGATCATTCCCCCATTTAGGGTAGGTGTACCGCCATAAGCAATTAGTGTCGCTTAACATTAAACCCAGTTAGTTAGGGACTGTTGCCAACCTAAATGTTCATACCGTTTCCTTCGTACTCGTAAGAGTTTGACCAAAATTGGTGATCAGAATCCCCATAATGGAGAGGTACGACGTGTCCCTGATGGACTGAGACAGAACTGAGCTCAGAGCGTGGGTTCGAACTTTTGAGCATCCCTGGATCTCTGGAATGCTAGGAAAGCATTCCGTCAGATGTTCCGCCACAGGTATGATTTCTTCCGTGGATACTGAGAGTTGGTGAGCTGCGGAAATATGGAGGTAGGTTAGGGTCATCCTCGCTGATGGCACATAAGCAGCCAACTTCAACGTTTTGGGGCAAAATTTTTATTCTACTCGCAAAAGTCTTGTAGCGAAGACCATTGTCCGGCTAGTGGCCCCACCAAAATAACCATCACAAGCCTCAGCAACAAAAACAAAAATGGTGTGCCTCTCAAAAATGGAATATCACTGACCAAAGCATGGCCGCTTTGTAACTTGAGAACATTCCGGGCCAAGTTTGTGAACGGTAACTAGTTTTTACAATCGTTAGGGATACTAAGCAGCGTAGCACTGAGATAACTTCATGAGAATGGAAGCTTCATTTTCGCTTTCTAGTCACACCGTCAACTAGAGTCCTTGATCCGCAAGCCGATTTATAGAGGAAACAGCGACTATTGGATTGGTGGGTGAACTGCTCGAGCATCCTACTACGCGGCAACTGATACTCGGCTTTCCACTGCTATCTTCTAACAGTAAGAGGAATCCAGTTGAAAAATACCTTCCGAATGTTAGTTGAGAGCGAAAGGCTTCATAAAAGGATAATTTCCGCCCTTTAAAACCAATGAATGATTAAATCCGCCAGCAAAATGAAAAAATCCTGCTACTTTCGAACACACCGCGGTGTGCACTTGCGTTGAGTAAACACTCATTGGAAATACGGACCGAATCTTTCTCCGAAAAGTGGTAAAAGGCGCGAACTTTCATGATTCTTCGTGCTGGAGATGCATCTCGAGCTTTCGTGCTTCGCGTTTGTTTAAGTTCGCCCGTCATTTTGTGTTTTCTTGTGCATTGATGGCTCGTTCCACAACGAAGATCTACGTTGGCAACTTACCCCCGGATGTAAAGACGCGGGATGTTGAGAATTTGTTTTCGAAATACGGACCAATTGCCGAGATAGATCTTAAATCCCGGAGAGGACCGCCGTTCGCTTTCATTGAGTTCGAAGATGAACTGTAAGTGCTGCATACAAAACGCTAACAAATTAGTGATGCCGCTGACGCCGTTCGGGGTCGTGATGGATACAATTTCGATGGATATGCGTTACGGGTTGAGTTTCCCCGCGGTGGGTCAGCAAGCTACAATGGCAGTGGTGGGAACTTCAACTCATTCAGACGTGGAGGGTTTGGCCGCGGTGGAGGTGGGCCGTCTCGACGGTCTGACTTTCGCGTCGTGGTTACTGGTTTGCCGCCAACTGGTAGCTGGCAAGACCTAAAAGATCACATGCGAGAGGCCGGAGATGTGGGTTACGCTGATGTCTTTCGAGATGGCACTGGTGTAGTGGAATTTTTGAGATATGAAGACATGAAATACGCAGTTCGCAAGCTTGACGACTCCAAGTTCCGTTCGCACGAGGTAAGCACAATTCACCATCTCATATAGTTCTTCAGGGTGAATCCTCTTACATCCGGGTTCGTGAAGAGCGTCCGTACGGATCTCGATCCCGTTCTCGTTCCAGGTCATACGGTTNCGTTCGCACGAGGTAAGCACAATTCACCATCTCATATAGTTCTTCAGGGTGAATCCTCTTACATCCGGGTTCGTGAAGAGCGTCCGTACGGATCTCGATCCCGTTCTCGTTCCAGGTCATACGGTTCTCCGCGAAGACCTCGTTCGTATGACTCTGGTTCACGTTCGGCTAGCCCAAGGCGTTGAGACATTGGAACTTGGTCACGTTGTACGTAATCTTCCCTTAAGTTTTATGTTTAATCGTCATTCAAGTAAAACCACCAGCAATGAAAGCTTCTCTCTTGCTTTGAAGGTTAATTACACATGGACTTGTGGATGGATATGACCGGATAGAGGGATGCGATAGGATGGCTTCCCAAGGATACAAAAATCCTGGAAACCGGATGGACAGCTGGAAAGGACTCGGCTGTCGATATTTGCTCCACAGGTTGCTAACAGCGCCCGGATACTCATCCCGAGCGAATGGAGGATGAAATTCTGGGCAGGCTAAACGGATCATCCGAGTGGTAGGAAACCCAAGTGGCCTCTTAAGTTTCGGAGTCCGTCAGAGGAGTCAATGTACTTTTGAGTTGCCGTTTGACTCGGACCTTCCCTTGGATGGAGGATGAACATTAGTTGTGATGGAACTTGCAAGGTCTATGAGAATAAGGCCAGAGTTTTTAAGGAATCAGGAGTCCAGTAAGAGATGTGCGTTTCATCCGTGAAATTTCGGATTGGACTGCTGTTTCTACAAAGCAACTACGCATATGCTTCATCTTCCTCATGAATGGACGTCTAGGACTGTTTGAGACACGGGGATGCTTGGAATTAACGTGTGTAAGTTGAAGGGGCTTGATGTTTTTGGCTAATTTTTTTCCGGGTTGTTCCGATGTGGGTAAGGTCTTGTGTGTGCATACTGTTTTAAGTAGGCAACTAATGAGCCTAACTGAATCAGCTATCCCATTGAAATCAGTCGCTGAACAGCGAACGGCCTTGTTATCTTCTGCTCATCCTTATTCTACTGGTTTGGAAGATTATGGGGGTCCTTGTATTCAATGGTTGCTCAGACGCTCAAGGTTTCGTTGGAGTCTGACTTTTTCGTCATAACTGCTCGTGGTTGGTCTTGGCACCCTGGTGGTGGCACGGCCGCATGCTTCCCGCAAGGAACCTGGAAGCTGGGCGTCATAACGATGCTACAGCAGACGGTACTCATCGTTTACCGTTGGCTTTGGGTTTCCGCGTTTAAGGTGAATATAACCTGCGTACGATTGAGAGTCCACCTTGCTTTCTTTATTACACTTAGGCCTTTTTTGCTTTCGTAATTCTGAACCATTTTAGTATACTGCCGTGTAATAAGCGAGCTTGTGAGTCTTATCGCAGGTTAGTGGATGGGTCGATCGCGTGAGTACAGTTCTGTAGATTGCCGAGCCTGATAGTACGTTCCTTTGCAGCCATTCGTAGTCAGTAGATGTGATTGTGCTTAACTTCTGCATAGTTTTGCACGTCGTGGGCTGTGATATAGTATGAGGATTTCTACGCTACTGCCTTCGTGCTTTTCTTGCAACTCTTAGTGATTTGATTGTCGGCATGCTTTTAATGACAAACTGACGTCCTCAGAGGTGTCAAGCTGTCATTTAGTCGTACCTACAAAGTCGGCACGAATAGACTTCAGTGATCAATGCATATTGAAAGAATGGTTTCGTTGAATGTTAGTGAGCTGGTTTACATATCTGACTTCAAGGGTTGTTAGTGCTTGGTAAGTGTTAGAACATGGCAAGTGTGATTTGGGTTGTCGAAAATTTTTCTTGTTACGATCGGTCCTTCTCGCTGTGGTTGTCCACCCTGTACACGTCGGGAACGCACTCCCGTTCATTCCCAGTATTATGCCACCGTGCTTGTGCGATAACACATTGCCGGCGTACTGTAATCAGCTTTGCTTGTGGTGAGTACACTTAAGGAGCCCACTAACGGTGTCTAAATCTCCCAGATGTAGCGCGGAATCCCCCTTCCCCCAGGCTGTTCTGGTAGCATGCTTATCAATCCATGTGTGGTAATTGGGGTACATAGGTGTCCTTCTGCGTATTTTGCACGTCGTGGGCTGTGATATAGTATGAGGATTTCTACGCTACTGCCTTCGTGCTTTTCTTGCAACTCTTAGTGATTTGATTGTCGGCATGCTTTTAATGACAAACTGACGTCCTCAGAGGTGTCAAGCTGTCATTTAGTCGTACCTACAAAGTCGGCACGAATAGACTTCAGTGATTAATGGATATTGAAAGAATGGTTTCGTTGAATGTTAGTGAGCTGGTTTACATATCTGACTTCAAGGGTTGTTAGTGCTTGGTAAGTGTTAGAACATGGCAAGTGTGATTTGGGTTGTCGAAAATTTTTCTTGTTACGATCGGTCCTTCTCGCTGTGGTTGTCCACCCTGTACACGTCGGGAACGCACTCCCGTTCATTCCCAGTATTATGCCACCGTGCTTGTGCGATAACACATTGCCGGCGTACTGTAATCAGCTTTGCTTGTGGTGAGTACACTTAAGGAGCCCACTAACGGTGTCTAAATCTCCCAGATGTAGCGCGGAATCCCCCTTCCCCCAGGCTGTTCTGGTAGCATGCTTATCAATCCATGTGTGGTAATTGGGGTACATAGGTGTCCGTTTCCAGGGAATGACCATGAAGTGCCTATGTAAGATGGCTCAGTGGTTGAAGCACGAATTTGCTGGCCGGTGGTTCGCACCTAACCTGCATCTCTACTTCTGTCTAGGTTGATCAAACTGGCGGTATCTAGTCCCCCGTGCTTTCTTCGAGCGGCATGGCAGCTAGGCATCGGTGGGGTATCGGGTCTTAATTGTCGAAGTATCTAGCAGTCCGATTTCTCCGTTTGATTTTAGTCGTTCTTATGTAGCGTGTCTCTAGCCGTTATTTCAGAATCTTCACTGAAACTTTGGTTCGGGGTTTCTCCAGGTTGAAAATTCTCATCCTGGTACATTCAACGCTGGTCAGCACGGCAGTCAAAATACGATGTATGCGGTAATGGTTTTGTCCAGATTCTTGCACTGCCGGGCCGGCGAGTGATAGAGCTTCGCGTTCAAGTTTGCCTGTAGTCTATATGGACTTAGTCAATTTAGCAGTGTCTGAACACGTCACTCTCCCTGGTTTCCATCACAGTTATGCTGTCGTTTGGCTTAGACTTGAATTCTGGGGTTCCAGGTTAGACCGGCCGCAGAGCCATCTGTTGTGACACAATTCGGAATTACTTTTCCATGGTTATTGCCTGGATGGAAATGTTCACCATTTAATTGGGTTTGTATATGGATCTTTTGTTTTAAAGTCTTGAATGCTACGGTGACTGCGTGGTTTGAAGTCAGGTTTCAACACCATTTTCTCATGTTATCAGGCGTCTCGTCTATGTCCCTCTGGTTTTATTATCCATTCCCTGTCCACGTAAACCTCGTTAGTTTTGCTTGCCATCACGTAATGGTAGCTTTAAATGTAATGTTAACATTGCGGTTTGAGTCTAACTAGATGATGGGCTGGTTTCAGCTGGCAGTTGACCTATTTGCCTAGCTTTGCTTGCTAACGTCTCACCCATGTGTGATGAGATATCCTCAATGTGCGGCTGAGTGGGTCTTCCCGCATTTCAACGAAAAGTTTGCAGACCAGCTCGGCGAGCAGATCAGCCAATCAACCCAGCCGAATTAAGAAAAATTAGGACGTTGCCCTTCATCTTTACTTGCTTGAGTCTAACCTCTTGAATTAGCTCTGTGTGCTAGTATGATTTGCATCTCTGGCTGCATGATTGGGGACTGTAACCTTCTATCGTGTGAGCCATTCGTAGACTTCATCCCTCGAAAGACGCTCAAGCGGAAGATCCCTTCAGTCAGGCGTTTGCTGGCCCGAACTTTACCGTTTTGGTTTGTTTTATGTCCAATAAATCTTCGCTCAGTCTCTGTTTTTCTGTACATTGTGGGTCCTGGAGGCTTCATTGGTTTTCAGCCCGTTTGGATCCAGGTTGCCCTAATGGTTGGGGATTCCCGTTTACGAGTGGCTACAATCGTTACCTGTGGCGTTTTCGGTTGTTTTCCTCCCAGACTTGCATTTCCATCTCAACAGTGACCCGAAGTGGGATATTTTTTAGTGTCGGATACTGAAGGGCCAATCTATTGAGGTGCATTCAGTTACCATTCATCTGGATGAGCTGGTTTATGCACACGATAGATATTCGTTTCTGGCGTAGTTCGTATTCGCAACACAGCGGACTGAAATTGCGCTTGCGTTGGATGACTGCCTTTTCGTGGCGTTTCATATTGTACTCACCAACAGCCACTAAACTTGACGTGCTCAGTACACCGGATGTGACGCTACTGACCAGAAAGTCAGTAGTGGTTCGCACTCAACGCAGACTCATAGGCTCTTTCCGTATGAGCTGCATAGCATCTGTGTAACCCCTGAGTACTACACTACCTTAGCACGCACAGTTTGCGTAACGCCATTAGGGTTTGCAGGAACTTGAGAGGTGACAGAGTTGAGCAAGGATGATATTCGCGTAATATATCCATTTGGTTCCAACCGAGCATCCATGGGTCCCAGCGGATCTCGTGTATGTCATTCTTCACCTTAAAGGGCTCCTTCATGCTCCAGTTGGTACATTTTTCAAGACGTTGCAAGGTAATTTCTTGATGGTGCGCTACTCGAGGTTGCACACTCGACCGACCACGACCGGTTTTGCGTTAGAGGCTCTTAAGTTAGGCAAAATCTTACAGTTTCTGTCGTCCTTTGTTTACTTGAGTGGTTCAACTGGGATTCACCAGTGTCGTGTTACAATTCAGTTGGCAAACGAGTGTTTTTCGCGAATCACGGATATCTTGGGTTCAAGGAAGGTGGCTTTGGTCGTTTGTTGTGGAAGAGTTCTCAGCAATCTAAAAAAGTAATTTCATTGGAGCAAACCACGTTTTTTTACTTAGCTGCAGTTGTATGCTAGGTGGGATTCGCAAACGATGCTAGGTCAGGCTAGTGATGATTTACTTCATCATGGTGCTTGGACGTGTCAGCTTCGAGGATACTCTATGTGCCGGGTGTCCTATTTGTCGCCATTTTTAGGGGGATAGTCCTGTTGGCACTGACTGTTTGTGACTGACTCGAAATTGAACAGGGTTCCACTCATCCTTCAATGATGGAGTCCGTCACATGTCAACCTGCTGACCGGGTGTTGGTGACTACTTGGATGTACGGTTCGCTGGTGTGGAATGGTCTTCGTTCTAAGGTATGCATAGTTAGTTGGTAGTACGATGAGATGCACACGGCAAGTGATTCCCACTAGGAATAGATCCGCTAAGCAGTGCTCTTCGGCCTAGATTGGTTTCACTTCAAGAATGAAAGCTCTATTTAAAAAAAATCATCCAGGCTTGACACCTTGGAAGGGGACACGATACTGTCATATTGCCTAGAATAGACAAAGGAAGTTGATAAGTCGGGCTCAACCCACGGACCTTAAGGTCGGCAAATTCGCGCCCGAAAGCTCTATTGATCTACTAAGATGTCACATTATCAGCGATGCTACACTGACCTCATCTTGACATTACGTCAAGCGCTTAATCAGGGTTATGCCGGCCAACGGGCTTCCTTGTTCTCCGAATAGCCTTCAACTCCGTTGTCAGGTTTCCTCTTCGACATATGCCTAGCCGATTAGGAAGGCTCTCGAGATTTTAGAGACCTCATGCTCGAAGTAGCCGAACCGTTGTAGGCGCGGATTTACTGGGCAGAAACTCCGCGGTTCGAGCTCAGCCCCGACGTCGATTGCTCCCGTCTAGACATAAACACCCAAGTCATATCTCATTCGCCGTGCCTCTTTCAGGCAACGTGGTAGATAGGCACTGAAAAGGCGTCTTGGCTGAAATACATATTACTCCTGTCTATTCTGGTCACGCCAAGATCTACAGTAAGTTATCCAGAGGTATTACTACAACGAACGAGGTTCGCCACGGAAGTCGACTCCCTCCATCTTTGTTTGGTTTGGTCGACGCTGTCCAGTGGAAAGCAAATCGGGCTGTTGAAATCGAATATGGAGTAGGTTTAGTAGACCTAAATCATGCGGGTCGCGACACAGCATGGCATACTGGCGGTCTTAGGAGCAAAATTTCTGTTACTTAGCCGAACTACCTAGCTAGCGCCTGTCTCATCATCATCAAAGACAGCAACGTCAGTGTTGCCACTGATGCTTCACTGCCGTACAACCATAAAGTTCGTTTAGTTTACATATATGTATATATATATATATAATATATATATATTATA